TATAATGCAGTTTCTAATGAATCTGAATTTGATCACTTATAACTGCGAAAGTTCCCAGCAAAAAATGATTGATGACTTCCAATTGAATGCAGCCTGAGTATGATGATCATATGCTATATGAGATGCTTCTCTAAGTCTTGAACTTACTCCAATTTGTTAAAAGGTGAAAAAACAACAGTTTAAAGACATAGATAGTTCCATTGAGTCGTAAGCACCATTCAAACTGAAAGTTCAAATTTATGTCATAGAAGATTTAAATGTCATAGATTCAAAGCTTCAAATCACTAGATGTAATAGCAAACTACACAAAATATTGGAAGACCAAGTGTCCAGAGATGGAACCTGAAAATTTCCAATGTTTGGAAATGCAAATTGTAACTTTTGAAAAAATTCATTTCAAAAGCACACTAAGAAGAAAAATAAATTCTCACCCTCTTATTTTGTGGTCTGCATCTCAAGTTTGGATTTTTAGGATATTATAGGTTTGAGACAAGTGGTAGCACCACCTGAGCACCACCACCAGCTCATATTCATTTTTTCTTACTAAATAATTATGTAGACCCATTCTCATCAAATTTCCATTTGTGTCCCAATACTGCCTGGAGAGCAAATGCCACTTATGCATCTGCAACGCAAAGGCAGTAAGAAACCACACTAGATGCTTAAGACCTGTTGGCAAGACACAAAGGCTATGCCTTGCTGTTTTATAAGGTGTTCATGCACTGAGGATGAGAGCCGCACAAGACTTAAAATTTGATTTTATTATCCTTTCCAACTTTGCAATTTTTTTAACTAATTTTTTATTATGATTTGAAAATTACTACAATTTATCCTTCTATTTTCATATGTTGTATTGACTACTCTTTTATCTTAATTTATAACACTAGTATTACTATGCCTGTTTTGATTTAAATACTTTCAACATTTTATGTCATTGAACTATCAGGATGAATTATCTATCTTTTACCCCAATTGAAAATTATTTTAATCATTGATTTGAGGCTTACATCTCATGAGCAAAGACCGACCACCTTGAAGCTGGATTTTGTCATTCAAAACCTTGCAGGGGATTCAATAATTTCTAGTGATCTTAAATGATGTAAAACAAATTCTAAAAATAACATGCAGAAAAGTTTAAAGATGTATGATAAGATAAAAACTTTTGCAAACATTTTGTCCAGCAGTGAAATCCAACACACACTAGTGCAGTGTACCTATACAAACAAGAATGTTAGATAAACAAATATGTACATGCTGCTTACTTGCTGCAAAGATGCCCGCTCCACTCGCATAGACATACCCAAAGCTCGTTGGTCTAAAGATAGACAAGAAAATATAATAAACTAAGGCATTAAACTAAAAACAAACAAAAATAAAAAAACAACTTGGTGGTCATAGGTAAAAACACATACGCTTTTTGCCATTGATATGGTCCAAGTAATTTGCAGAATCTTTAACAACACATTCACAAACTGAGCAAAAGTATCCAGCCTGCAATAGAAATTACAGTATATTATAGCATGACAGTATAAAACTTTGAGAAAGTGCATCATAACTGAAAATGAATCCTTTCCCGGTTTCTTTTGTTAGGATAAACTAGAGTGAGTTCTGCTATATAATGTACTGTAGCATCACAACTGAACAAGATTCCTTCCCCCATTTTCTTTTGTTAAAGAGATATAATAAGAAAGATTCTGCTATATAAGTTATTGCCTGATCTTATGCTACTAGTTTCCATATTTATGAGCTGCATATATGTGATTTAGCTTACTTCTTTTCTTTTAGCAGAACTGGTGGGATTCTATTGTTAGAATCTCTCTTAGATTGAATATCTGAAGATGCACATGACTGTAAATTCCTTCTAGAGGGAAAACAACAGAATTTCTTAAACGATCTCTGCCCTTTTTTTCTTCGGCCATATTTTTTCTGCTCCAGTTTTCATGGTATCAGGGAAAGGTGGTCGGCCTTTGCTCATTTCAAAAAGAGCATGCCAGACATTCTAGATCTGTTAAAAAAACAGGGAAGCTGAGTTCTTTCCAGTCACAACTCCAATTGAGAAAACCGGAAACATAAGATCTTGGAGAATGATCCTCTGGCGAAAAAAGAAAGATGCTAATACCTTGTGGATATAGATAGCCACTTTATGCATTCTATCAATGTGCTTTTGATAATATTCTTATACATCTAAGAGGTACTCTAAATAAGGGAATATTGTTTCATAAAAAAATACGAGTAGTTGGTTAGTTGAAAGAATTGCAGAATGATGGTTGGGCTAATCTATAGAAGATGTTGATATGTGGTAAAGCATAGTGTTGTGTCAAAATGTAGGGCATAAGCTGAACAGATGGCCATTGCACAAGGAATTTGTGAGCTGATAAACTGGACAGCTTTATTACTTTTCAACACTTCTTAAACTCTATAAAGTCAAACAATGAAGTATGAAGAGCGTAGTATATATAATACTCCCTCCGTCCAAAAAACATTACCCACTTCACTCTTTTGGATAAACCTTTCACACTTTATTTCCTTTTTTAGTAATCAACTATGTGGCTCAAAATATCTCCATCTTATTTAACAAATTCTAACCATACAGTTTTCACACTTCAATACCTTAAACAGTGATAGTCAAAATGGGTATAAACAAATTGGGACGAGGGAGTATAATATATGCCCTCCATCCCTAAATAAACTTCAGTTTACCATATAGAATGTTTGGCCGAAGTTATTTTCAATTTATTTGAATATTGGTGTAAAATTAAAACATAAAACTTACATATTTTAGAAGTACATCAAATTGTTCTTCAAAACAAGAAGTGACAACATATGTTATTCTAACAAATGATTCAAATAAATACGTAAAGAATGAAGATAGAGTTTGATCCCAAAAATACTAAAAGTGAAGTTTAACTAGGGACAGATGGAGTATATTATACGAAAAAATAAAATTTCATGTCAATTCGGAACAAGAATTTAATATCCATTTTAAATGTATTAACTACTTGAATATTGATGTAAAATAAAAAAAATAAAAGTTAGATATTTTAAAATACATCAAAAGTTCTTCAAAAAAAAGAGGTGACAAGATATGTTACTCTAACAAATGATTCAAATAAATAAGTAAAGAATGAAGATAGAGTCTGATCTTATGAATACTAAAAGTGATGTTTAACTATGGATAGAGGGAGTACATTATACAACAACAACAACATTACCCCAGTGCCTCAACGGCTTCCGCCCATTGCGGGATAAGGGGGGGTCGGATGTACGAAGTCTGACCCCTATGTTTAAAACATAGAGCGGTTGTTTCTAGATGCCCATGATGAGCGTCGAAAGTTGCATTAACTACTACTTCACAATTGCAAGAAGCGCAGACAGTTTAAAGAGCCAATTTACTTTATTCCATCATACCCCAAAGCCAAAAAATAGTGAATCTTTGGGTCCACGGGGGAATGAAACTTAGGGAGTACATTATACGAATAAATAAAATTTCAAGTCAATTCGAAACAAGAATTTAATATCCATTTCAATTGTATTAAACTACTAACTCTAGCAAAAGGTTGTAATGTGATTCATGTGACCATTATCTCAAGAACGAGCCACAATGGCAAGTTTTTAATTCTCTACATAGGTTTTTTATTTCCCAAATCTGATGCAGCTTTTTAAACTAGGAAGAACAGGTCAGTTTTTAGGTCAAAATTGATTCTAGGTGTCACCATGAATGCCTTATCAAATCTTAAATGGCGCCATTCAATGCCCAGCGCTCTTCAAGCGAATTGAGCTGCCTTGGTGATTGTTATCCACTCCCTAGACGATGTCATGACTAGGGCTGGATACTAGAGGTGGCAATCGGAACAATCGGATCGGTTCTGGTTTGGATTATTGCGGTTTAGATATCTTCCGAATATATGTTATAATCGGTTTTTGGTTTAATTTCGGATTGGATTTAATTTGGTTCCTTACATTTTCAAGTTCAGGTTTGGTTCCAAGTCAGTTCAGATACAGTTCGGATATCAATCGGTTCGGATCGATTTTGGTTTTAGATACATTCCGGTTCGGGTATATTTTGGTTCAGATATATTTCAGTTCGGGCATATTCCAGTTTTGGATATATTTACATATATGTTAATTTTTAATTAAATTTTAATTACTTGTTTATTTTTTTATCATATCGCATTTATCAATCTATCATCAATTCATCAACTCATATTATTTAATATTTTTTCTAATGATACTCCCTCCGCCCTAAATATCTTCTATTTTTATCTTTTAGTCATATTTTATAAATTTGGATTACGAATTATGAAAAAAGTATTTAGTCCTGATTTAAAATTAATATAATTGGATTCCCAAATTACATACAATTTGGTTAAAATATGTTGAAATTGTGTGAAATTGAATGCAATTAGGTAAAATTTGAATGAAATTAAATGTAATTCAAAGTACATGTTTGGCCAACCACACAATATTGAGAGGGGGACAGAAAAAATCTCTTTAACCTATTCTAGTTTGTATAAATATTAACTAAATTTTTTATGCAAATTGTATTGTTCATTTCTATACCAGTTTATACATAAATCAATTTAAAAGATATTTTTTCACTTTGTTTTGATATGATAATTCATTTTAGAACGCAGGGAGTAAGTAATATAAGTATATAACTAGTTCTAATGATAAAATAGAAGTAAAAATTTGAAATCACAAAAATGTAATTGTTCATTAATGTACATAAATATAATATGTTTAGTGTTAGGCAGAATCAATTTTGGATATAATCGGTTTCGGATCTTATCGATTTTGGATCTAATCGGTTCCGGGTTAAAATCGAGTATGGATATATTTAGTTTGGTTTCGGTTTGGATTATTTCAGTTATTCGGTTATAAATCGGATCTTCACTTTTCGGGTCATTTTGGTTTCGGATCATTCGGTTTGGGTAATCGGTTCCGGTTCTATCAGGTCTACTCGATACTGTCCGGTTCCGGCATAGTTCACAGCCCCTGAATAGCAAGAAGCTTAACCGAACCTTTGTAGGCAATTCCAGCTCCGGTTCTTAGGACCGGCTGTTTTGGTTGCAGTTCTAATTCTTAGGAGCAGAAGTTACGGTTCCTGTTCCTGTTTCAGTACTGGTTCTTAGGCCATTTTACATTATTACTTATAGTGGTTCCGGTCCTCCATTTGATGCAACCAGAAACTCGTCAGTTTCGCTTCTTGCTCATAAGGTTCTGGTTACAGTACAGTTTTAAAACCTAAGGGTACTTGTTCAGAACAGTCCACCACTAGACGTGACAATCATGATATAAACAACCATTGAAAGAGTGTAAGATTCCAAATCATTATCCAGTGAAGCTGTACAATGACTGTACGTCACCAATAGCAAATGTACAAGAGAGCTTTGTTACGCAGACCATACCATTAACCAAAAAGTAGAGAGGTTGTTTCCAAGAGATCTCCGGCTCAGTTTGTTACTTTGTTTTTACAGTAGTACAAAAAAGATTTTTGTTTTAGACTGAAAATAAGAGATGCTCTCAGTGAATGTAGTCTATGTTACTAGTTACTACTTACTATTATACAGTAGTACGAAAGATATTTGTCTAGTACTGCAAAATGGATCGGCACATAAAATAAAGAACCTATCTGGCTTTCTTAATATCAGAAAGCACAAACCATTAGAAACCATAAATTTATGTAAGATCCTTAATATCAGAAAGCATAAACCACTAGAAACCATATATTTATGCGTGAAAGACATCAGGACAAGGTTGGAATATACCTGTTGACTTAGGGGTGCAATTGGTGTCACAACCTGCCAGAAGACAAATGACAAAGACGAAAGTAGACGTCAGAAATTTTACAAAATACTCCTTGCTACAATAACAAAGGTCATATACAATTTTAAGATCTCACTATTAAATAATACTAACAAGATAGTGTTACTGAACAATCAGGGAATCTTCAATAACTGGAACGAGTAAATGCAGCATAAACTGATAATTTTGTTGGCTAAATGTAAAAATTATTTAAGAAAATGTTTTTGGGAGGGACAATGAAATATTGGTCAAACCATGGCATTAGCTTGTGTCAGGAAAACAATTATAAAGTGTAAGCAGTGTAACGATAAGTGGATGACATTAGCTTGTGTCATGTGTGTTTGACTATTTGTTATTGTGCAACTCCCTACCTCATCATTTTGACACAATTATACTCACATTCAAATTATTGCAGCTAAAACTAAATCCTCATATAATTCGAGCATTAACTTTGTAGAGGTGAATAGGGATATGTGAATTCATAAGTTTTTATACATCAATATAGCATAGAACATATGAAGATAAAGTAAAAGTAGCAATAGCAAAGTATGATACGATTCATGATTGTGTGGGTTTTGGCTCGCTCGCTCTTTGTCATTATTCTGTTTAGTGTGGAACTGTGCAATCCCATTATTATGAGTAATAATTGTACATATCATGAGAATTCATTTGGAGCGTTATTGAATAATGGGTCTGCCACTAAGGGTCTAAATAAATGGGCAACCTAAGCTGATAGAAAGAGAGAGCTATATGGCACAAGTGGTAGAAAAATGGGTATGCATAAAAAAGTGTCATTCCTTTGGAAGCTCAATTATTTAGAAGAGAGAAATATGGACCACAAATTTCTTTCCTTTTAAGAAAATTTGAAAAGCTTTTTGGGGCAAGCAACAAATGAAAGTTGGCAGAGTTTTGAGCGGACAGATGGGGTACAAAAATTAAAGGCTAGCAAAATTTAAACACAAAACACATTTAAAAGGATAGCACTTATGACAGATAAAGGTTAGCTTAGTCTACCTGGGTCTTTCCCAAGCGGGATTCAAGATCCACTTCATAATCCCTTTGCTTCAAGGGTTTTCTCTGCACCGGAGGACCTCTTGCTGCACAAGTATTTCTTTAGTAAGGTAAAACTCAAACCACAAAATGAAACAATTTCTACATTTCATTAACTCTAAAATACTAGTAACTAATAAAAACAGCCAAATGCCAAAACTCTATTGAGGTCTTGGGTGTCAAGATGTACACAACCTTACCTCTGTTATGACAGAGACACTGTTACGGTTAGACCATCGATGCATTACCGCATTTACCTCCCATAACATCACACGAAGTAAGAAGCAGGGAATGTTTGATATGCCATTTGATTAAGGCCATTATTTACCCAAAGCTAAAACTTTGTAAAAACATGACTCTTTTAGTTCCATTGGCAATTGACAACAAGCTTTGAATTACCTTACACGTATCATGTATGAAAGTGCCAAAAACGAAAAATGCAATTAGGTACGTAAAGGAAGCAGTAAACACTAAGCAGTGATTAGGCTAGTTGCAACAAAGAAAAAATACATTTAAATTTTAAAATATTGATACAATCTGTGCTGAAGTTTTTGGATGAGTAGGATGATTGATGTATTGTTTTACTATTGCAACTACTCATCTTCTGTTACAGCTTTCTTCATGTACTTAGGTTGTGTTCCGTAACTTCCTTTCAACTTATTGTTCTGCTTATTACTTATTCTTATTAAAATCAGATCAGATCAAATCAAATGAGATCCAACTCGTTTTTTCTGCTTATTACTCATTCTTATTCATGAGCGGAAATGACAATGCTTTGTTGGATGAGCGATCATACGCGTATGGATAGAATAAGGAATAAAGATATGGGTGCTAAAGTTGGAGGGACACCTATTATAGAAAAGATGGTGGAAACTCGTCTTAGGTGGTTTGGACATGTAGAGAGAAGACCAATAGAGCATCCGGTGAGAAGGGTTGATCAAATGGTGAATAGACATGTGGCAAGAGGAAGAGGTAGACCTAAGAAGACTTGACAAGAAGTGGTCAAGGGGGACCATGGTAGTCAAACTCTAGATTCTACGTAGGATCGATAAGCATAATGAAGATGTCGTAGCATCGTAAGATCGTGACTCGGATCGTAAGATCCTACTATATATATATGTGTGTGTGTGTGTGTGTGTGTGTGTGTGTGTGTGTGTGTTTAATGTTTTAATTAAATTTTAATAAAACATAACACAAGTTCAAGTTAGATCACAAATGGCTTAAAACTTTATTCTTAAACATCTAAAACATAATTATCAATGCTAAAATTATAATCCTCAAGTTCTTGATCTTCATCTTCATTTTCATCTCCCTCATCCAAATTGGTGACATCCAAATCCTCTTCATGTCCAGGTTGAACATTTGCAGCAGCCTCTTCTTCTCCATTTTGTGTTGGAACATCAGTGGAGTTATTGCCAACCATAGTTTGTAAGGCGTCGCCTAGGCGATAAGGCGCTGTCACTGGGACACCTTGTCTGCTCGCCTCGCCTAGAAAACCTTAAGGCGACCAGGCGCTTGCCTGGGCGTCGCCTTACCGCGCCTTAATTGCCTTACCTTGCCTTGATACTTTGGGCCCCTTTAAAATTTTGAAAAAACCCATTTTTTAGTGCAGCCCATTTTCTATTAGTGTAGCCTAATAGACTTAAACTTGTCTTCTCTCTCTCTCTCTTGATCTTCTCTGTCAAGCTTCCTTAAAATGTATAAGACCTATATTAATATATATATATATATACACACACACACACACATTTACATATATATACACACACACATACATACATATGTATGTATGTCGCCTAGTCGTCGCCTAGGCGTGCGCCTAGTCGCCTAGGCGATATGAAGGTACATTGGCGCCTCGCCTCGCCTTGCCGCCTAACAAACTATGTTGCCAACAGCCTCTTCTTCTCCATTTTGTGTTGGAACATCCGTGGAGTTATTGCCAGCAGCAACTTCATCACCTCCTGGGTCTTCACCAACATCTTCCATAATCCACTCATCATCTGACGAAAGATCTTCTAGTCTGAGCTGATTTGATCTCCTAGCTTTCTTCTTTTTTGCCAATTTTGAATTAGTCATGACAAAAACAACATCGTTCATTGTTTTCTGCTTCAAACGATTTCTTCTCTTTGTATGGACCTAATGAAAATTATCAAGTTATATTTATTTGCACATTTTAGAATATAATAAAACTTTAGAAATCTTACCATCTCAAATGCACTCCAATTACGCTCGCATCCTGACGAACTGCATGTCAAGCTCAATACTCGAATCGCAATTTTTTGAAGGTCTGGATATTCATCTCCATACGAGTCCCACCAATCTGCTGGACTTAGCTTATCAAATGTCTTTTGAGCCCATGGAGAACCAAATAACTTTTGACGCTTCTTAAAGTCCTGTAGTTGAACATCAATCCTTGCCTGTTCTTCGATATCAGCCACCATGCGTCGTAAACAATCATATACGCCTTGTTTAACTTCATAATCAACTTCAAAATTGGGGCTATAGTGCATGCGAGGGTTAAGATAATAGCATGCGGCATGCAAGGGCCTATGAAGTTGTTTGTTCCGTCTGAGATCAATGATACTCCACAAAGGCCTATAACTGAACACAAAAGAAGTATTTTAATTATTACTTAAGTTCGAATTACTATTTTATTATTTTATTCTACAAAGGACTTATGTGATGTACCTTTTCTTGACATTTTGGAAAGCTGCTTGTATCTTTTCTTTTGCTTGGTCCATTGCCTCGTAAAGAAATCCCATGGCAGGTTGCTCATCAGAATCAACCAAACGAAGCACCTCAATGAGAGGTAATGCACCCTTTAAGCATATCACTGTGTTTTCCCAAAACTCCTTATCCAACACAATCTCTTCCACATCTTTTCCATCCTTTATTTTTGAGTGTTTGTTTGACTTCCACTCTTCGGAGGTATACATTCTAATTAAACCACCTTTGTTTTCATAAAGACACCCCAAAGTTAGATAAGCAGTAGCAAATCGGGTCATTCCCGGTCTCACCAAATCTTTCCCATCTGTGAAGTGGTGTAATAGAGAAATTAGAGAAGGTCTAGAATAAATGTAAGTAGTGATTTTGTGACCATTAGGAATTGTCAATCCATGGATTGAGATTTTCTTTTTGAAGTCCTCTAGCATGAGATCAATGCAATGAGCCGCACATGGTGTCCAATATAGCCTTTTTCGCTTCTCCATGAGTAGATTACCTGCAGCTACATAATTTGGGGCATTATTTGTCACAATCTGAACAACATTTTCTTCACCCACATCTTTAATCACCTCATCCAACATCTCAAAAATCTTGTCAGATGACTTTACTATTTCAGAAGCATCAAGTGATTTCAAGAAAACTGTCCCCTTTGGACTATGAACTAGAAAATTAATCAATGCTCTCTTTTTTGTGTCAGACCAACCATCACTCATTATCGTGCACCCTGTCTTCTTCCATTCGCTCCTATGTTCATTGACAATGCGTTACTCTGATTTCATTATATGATGGTGGCTTGAATCCAGGTCCATGTTTTGCAATAAAATCACACATGATACGAAACTCTTCACTTCTTGCCGTGTTGAATGCTATGGCATTGTTGAAGAAATATCTCAAAATTGCTAGACATGCATCTTCTCTCAAACTCTTCTTGTCGTGCTATTAATGGTGCTTTGATCGGTCGCCCTTTTTTTGGAAAAAGTATTCAATCCATCACCAACCTCGTCATTGATTTTTCTTTTGTAACCAACATTTTCACAATCATCATCATCCTCTTCTTCCTCTTTTCGCCTTTTCTCTTTAGAGGTAACTACAATGTCCCACATTTCTTGCCTCAACTTATCGAAAACACTTTTGCAAGCACCCACATCCTTTTGTGTCCCTGCTAAGTGATGCTTCATACGGAACACCCCTCCTGTAATGACTTTGCTACAATAATTACATTGTAGCTTTCTATTGCTAGAATCAATTGCTTTGCAATGTTCCCAAGCAACATCCGTTTTCTGCCGAGGAGCATTTTTCGCAATTGGTCAGCTAAATGGAGTGGCTGAAGTAGGGATTGACATTGTAAGGGAGTCCCAGAAGGAAGAAGAAAGAAGGAAGCAAATAGAAACGATGTTGCGACAGAGGATTCGCAGGAGAAGAAAAAAAACCAAAGGAAGGCTGATAAATAAAATTGGGAGTCGCGACAGACGCGACTCACAATTTCGATTGAATTTGGGAATAAATAAAAGAAGATACGTTGTTTCCAATTAAAATTGGGAGTCGCGACAGACGCGACTTTCCAATTGCAATTCCCGACGCGATTGGAAGAAGATTTTGAAGCGACGCTATTTGGGCTTCTCACAATCAACGATTGTATGCGATCCTGCGTTTTCACGAGCCGAATCGCCAATCCAGACGATCCTATTGGATTTCGCAATTCTGCAGCTGTCTCGGATCGGGAAGCTCCAGGCGATCCTCACACTCGTAGACTCGTACGAGTCAACTCGCGAGTTTGACTACCATGAGGGGGACCTTTGCGTGAATGATCTCATAGCAAATATGATACATGATAGGGTGCAGTCGCATTGTTTCATCCATATGGTGCAACCGCGTTTGTCCTGGGATAAGGCTTAGTTGTTGTATTACTTATTCTTATTAATCGAGTATTTGACCAATAAGAATCAACGTAAAACAAAGATAAAAGATCATCTTACACTTTGCCTTTTGTCCCTCAGCCTCCTGCAACATGAGATGTTACGAATTGTAAGTATTTTGAACACCCAAAATCCATGAAAAATTGAAGCAAGACATAGAAGAAATTTAAAACCTTTTCTTCTCGTTCACGGGCACGCTGCAAGTACTCCTCTCGATCTAATTTTTTCCGAAAAGTATTATCAACTCCAAGGACCTAAAGATTTCCATTCAAAGCAAATTAAATGAACAAACATACTTTTCACAAGATAATATGTATACGTGTTATATTTACTATACACACACATTGTATTTAACATTTTTTGGGATCAGTAATTAGGTATTTTCATATATTATAATTAAGGAACTCCCATTTCTTGTCTAAGTAAAGACTATAAAGTAAGAAGCACATTAACAATCCAAATGACAAATGCTTTAATATGAGATACAATACTCCATTCCTAAACAAACTTCACCTTTTCTTTTAAGAAAAGGAATATGTGGTTGAAATTTTTCTTTTCCGTTGTATTAATATAGGTGCAGAAAGAAAGGTGAAGATTATTTAAGGATGAGGGAAGCATGCATGCATCCATACATACAAACATATCATGGGGATTTAAATATATTTGTTGTATGTGTTGTGTACACATAAACATACATTTATATAGTAGGGATCCACTTGAAAAAAGTTGTTAAAAATGCGAGTTGAGTCGTAGGGTTGAACAATCTAAATCGATTTGATCAAGCAAATGCACAGCGCCAGGTCGGGTTGGAGATTGTGTTGACAGCCCTCACCTGCACGTTCATTTTACTCTTAATCTTCATATTCTTATGCGCACCATTCAGAACTTTATCTTTATTTTTCTCTATATTTCAGCACCTTTGGTTACTCACGAAGGTTGTAGGGTGGGTTGACCTAAAAATTCACAAAATTGGGCTTTTTCTTAAGCCTTAGATTATTCACCATGTTGTATCTTGAACATTAACCATCTTTTTTCCATTAAAATAACGATTAAAAAAAGGATTTTTACTAAAATTATTAACTTGGAACTTTAACGATATCTATTTCCCTTTGTTTTTAAGATCACTCTCATTTATTAGCTAAACACCCTCTGGATTAACTTGTAAAAAGATATTCTATATTTATATGGTTAGTGATATAAATACTCATATTTCATAACCTTATGTTATTTTAACTTATTAGAGTACAGATGAGTTACTACTTCAAATTTTAAACTTAAGTTGTATAGAGTTGGATTTTATAACTTTTATCTATTAACTATGAGTCTAGGATCTTACAATCCAAGTTATGATATCTGACTTACGATTTACTGCCCCGCTTTTGATCCTATCTAGACTCTCGATCAAGCTTAACAACCTTGAACTTGAAGCAAGAATAATATAAAACCACTTGCTAAGAATCATGGCACTAAGATCTACTTTAATCTGATGGCTTTGATTGAGCACTTTTACTAAGGGAATGAAATCCATTTGATTAAAGTTGTGTTATACCCCTCTGTGAGTAAAGAGGTAAATGATACAATAACTAAAAAGTTATAAGAAAAAACTGCAATATCACCACTGTTAATTACAGAAATAAACCTTTGAAAATAACTTGAACGCAGTATAAAATCAATCCAAAATTAAACATCAATAAATACTTGTTATCACCAAGTAAGTTTTATAACCACCTCAAACTAGAAATTTTCTATAATACGTAGTAATAAACTCACAGAAGCTGTCCCTGTGAATTCATCTTGGCGCGCCATCCGCAATCTCTTTGTCTTCCTAGGTCTTGGACTTACCCTTACCCTTAGTAATGGTTCATGTGAAGGAAAACCTGTAAGCATCATCATGCTTAATTAGTACTAAGAATCCATAAAAACTTTGAAGAAGTATTTTATAATTAAGAGATAAACACAACTAAAGTTTTATCATACTTAACATTCAATGTCATAAATTAATAAAAGTCAAAAGCATAACCAGATAGGTTAACTTAGGGCTTGTGACATGCACCCAAAGACACCATCATCGATATCATAATAGAGCAACCCAATAAACCAATCAAATCTTAAGGGACTCTTCTCTCAGTGGGCATGAACACGTATAACTTAATCTTTCACTTTGCACATTAATTGCCGCTAAGATGACACAGTCAGCAATATAACAAATACCTAAAATCTCAAGCAATAGTCTAATAAACATAAACTTGACCTTATGTGTGTGTGTGTAGACACACTCACACACACACATATACATATATATGTACTCCCTCTGTCCCCAATTGAAAAAATATATATATATTTAAAAACTACATCAAAAGTTCTATAAAACAAGAGGTGACAACACTAATTTATTTTATCAAGCAATAAATTTAAGGAAATAAATTGATTAAAATTTTACACTAGAACAGTGGGGGTGCAAATTGATTGCAGACAGAGGGAGTATATAATTAGAAAAAAACTTTTTCCCTCCAAAAGCACCATGCACTTCACCTTATTCTATCTTTTACTTATTTATATAAGAATAGGTTTCCTCTTTATTTTTTCTTGGATAGAAAAAAAAATTAAATAGGATATTAGTATTTTATAATCTATTGGACATTTCAACTATTAGACATTTCTTATTATGAAAGAATAAAAATTTTTATTGGAAATGTTTTAAAATTATATGTAAGGCCCCGTTCCGTTCAACTTATTTTTTTTGCTTTTCTCTTATTCTTATTAAAATCAGATCAAATCAGATCACACCAGATCAGACCACATCAGATCTAATCAGATCAGATCGAATCAAATCAGATTCAATCAGATCAGATTAGATCCAATCAAGAATTATTATTATTATTATTATTATTATTATTATTATTATTACTATTATTATTATTATTATTATTCTTTAAAATGAAAAAAATAAACTTTAGAAACAAGTTAAATAGAAAACTGAGAAAGTAATCCTTAATTATTAGACGTCGGAAAAATTCTTTTTAAAATACATTGACAATGTCAATCTAATTCTACTTTTAAAATACATTTTTATTGCTACCTGTAATTTGAGTTTCTTAAGTTTTGATCTTTTACTACATCGAGTTGATCAACTTTGATCATGACTTAAATAAAATTAACATTTGATATTCATATACGGAGTATATTTTAGTGTAACTGGAATAACTATTATATCTATAGTGTGATATTAATCATAAAAAAAGTTTTGTAGTACAAAGAACACGCTTATATTTTATAAGAATGAGATATTTCAATAAATACACTATCTCTTCTATATATTGATTATCTAAATTTAATTACTTTTTAATGTATATATGAATTAAATATTTATTCTAATGTATATATGAACTAATAATTAAAATATTAAATCAATATTCTTATTTCATAAAAAAATAATCATAAAATAAAAAATATTATTACATTATAATATAAATGATAATTCTAATATATGAATTAACTAATTTAATTTCATTAAAAAATAATCATAAATTAAAAAAGATTGATTATATTATAATATGAATTATCATTACAATTTCAAAAGTTATTATAAAGTCAAATCAAATCATCGAAATGAATTTTAAATCAAATCAAGATTAATCAAACCAGATCAGATTAGATCAGATTTCTGATATGATCCAATCCAATTAGATCAGTACTACAAAAAATTTGATCAAATCAGAAAAAATAAGTTGAACAGAACGCATCCTAAGTCACAATCTTTATGTTATACTCTGAGAAATATGTAAAATAGAATTACGAAATAGTCTAAATTTTAAAAGTTAAATTAATTTATAATACTTATATGTTATCCTTAGTCATTGGGGATTAATAATTTTTTTAGTCCATTTTTTTTACTTAGTTTCAGTTTAGTACCTTTTATTTGGTTCGACATATGAATTCATTTTAAATTGATTTTTTATTTCATATCTGTTTTATTCATCATTGGTTGGGGTATTTATACATACATGTGAGGAGGGTAAAGTCTAGGTAAATAAGAAAACAAGATATTCTAAATAATAAGAGTAATGTTGGCTAGATTCTTCAGGACCTATATTAAGTAATACTACTAGATCAGTTATGCCGCATCATCAAAAACCTTACTAAGAAAACCCAGTGGGACAAAACTTAGTCAAGGAAAAAAGAGTACAACGTGTATAATGCTCCCCCTCAAACTAATTTATCTCCTTTAACATAGTTATTTAAGGCATGATGCGCACCAATTCGCAAAGGGCTTCTAGCGCCTCGATGCATGATGCGCATCTGATGCGTGCGCATCACGAACACGATGCGCATATGTAGGCACAAGTAGCATAGCATCTCTAAATAAGCAAAAAATTACTCACGGGTGACGCGAGTTTTGTTGAAATAACTCTCAGGTCCCTCTATTTTCAAAAAGATAGCAGAGGTCCTTACATTTTGTTGTAATGACTGGAAGGGGACATTTCATCCAATATTTCATCTATAAACGTTAATAAATGTATTTTTTTCCTATTCTTTTCTAAATGTTTTAAGGTAATAAATCTTAGGTCGCTCCTTTTTTTATTTCTTTGTTTTTCTTTCATTTTGTTACTATTTTTTTAAAGTGTTATTTTAGAATTTCTTCTATAAAATTGTATAAAAATTCAAAATTGTTTGTATTATATTAAAACAAATGAAATAAAAAAATTTTAAAAAAAGAAAAAACAAGGTAATGGCAAAATAGGAAAAAAAAGTATTGGAAAAATAGGAAAAAAATTCATTTATTAACACTTACGGATGATGTATTGGATGAAATGTCCCCTCTCAGTCATTACAACAAAATATAAGGACCTTGGTTGTCTTTTTGAAAATAGAAGGACCTGAAAGTTATTTCCACAAAACTCGCGTCACCCGCGAGTAATTTTCTGCTAAATAAGTAATAACACACATAGGATGTTGAAAAGCATATGAAAATTTTAAAAAACCAAAAATCAAATTCAAACAGAACCATAAGCAAATTAAAAAAACCAAAATGCAACTTATGAATCAAAATCAAATTCAAACATTACCATATTCAAACAGCAATGAATAAAATTCATCAATTTAATAAACAAATTGCAATTAACTACCTAATGAAATTCATAAAATAAAAAAATTGAATCAATGAATAAAAAATCGATGAACCAATTGCAATTAACTAACTAATGAAATTGATAAATTACAACTATTTAATCAATGAATTAAAAAAAACAATTACGAGTATTTCACAGTAGTTGCGGAGAGTAACTAAAAAAGAGGCAGAAGAGAGTTTTTTGAGTTGGAAGTTTATTTAATTAAAAAAAAGCAACTAAAAAAAATAAACCAACTTGAGATAGCTTTGAGACTAGAGTCTGCTGAGAATGGGTGGTAGTCGAATGAAGTTCCAGAGGCTTTTGCGACTTTCGAGGTGTAAGCGTCAACCTTATTTCTGCCATTTTCTGGGAGTACTACTTATAAAATACAGTATTAAAAAGTAATTAAAAAAGTTGTTCGTTCATGATGCGCGCATTATTGCGCCTCGCATCACATCATATAAGGCGCCTATGAGCGATATTGCGTGTGCCTCAAGAACGTCGCGCGCATCAAGGTCAGTGATGCGCTAAGGGCTTCGCTTCGTGCACATCACGCCTCACGCCTCACACGCGCTTTTCACAACTATGTCCTTTAGCCTGCGGAGTGTAATCTTCTTTATGAGTTGCTCAAAACTATGTTTAGACAGAGATTTGGTGAATAAGTTTGCCAAAATTTCGCTTGATTTAACTTGAAGAACATCGATCTATGTCGAGAAAAACTTTGGTGAGATGTGCTTCGTTCTGTCTCCCTTGATGTAGCCTTCCCTGATCTGAGCTATGCATGTTGTGTTGTCTTCGTATATAATTGTAGGATTCTTCTTAATTTCTTCCAAACTGCATGCTCCTTGTATATGATCAATCTTCGATCTCAACCATACGCACTCTTGGCAAGTTTCATAAAGTGCTACCAATTCAGCTTGCTTTGATGTTGTTGTTGTTAGAGTTTGCTTTGTTGACTTCCAAGAGATTGTTGTACCGCCATATGTGAACATGTAACTTATTTGAGAGCGTGCATTGTGTGGATCGGATACCCAGCATCAGTATACCCTACAAGTTGGGACTTTTCATCTTTTCGATAGATTAGACCAACGTGTCCCACAAATATATCGGGATATTTGCTTTATCCCATTCCAATGTCTATGTGTTGGGTTTGAACTGAATCTTGCAAATAGATGTACTGAGAATGCAATATCAGGCCTTGTATATAAAAATACATTGTTGGAGAACTCCAGGTTCTAGTTTGCAAGAACTAATGGTTCATCATTTTTTTCAAAAGAAAAAAATTTCAAGTTGATTTTCTAAGTAAATTTCCAGAGTTTGAAAAAAAACTTTGAACATCTTCACAGCCAAAAACCGCCATATCTCATTAAAAAAATTATACACCTTCATTAAAGTTATTAAAAAATGGTGTAGGGTAGTTTTATTCTTATGATACAAATAGATTTGCATCCCATCATTTTCTTAAAAAGAATACATAGTGTATATTTAAAGGTCATCCATCCACTGGATAATCAATGACCTAGACATATATAGAGTAGCATGCCTAAAGTTGAAATTGAGCACTATGGATGTAATCATGAGGAGTAGTCATTCATTCAAATGCAAAATAAATTGATCAAGTTTATACATCCACATGTAAAAGATAGATCACACATGGAATAAATGCACTTTGAAAAACATACTGGAAGTTACAAGAGAGAAAAAACAGTGGAGGTCAATGTCCAAAATTTATAGCAATATAGTGGACCGTTTCTGCACTTCAGTAACATACTCAGCATGGCACTTTGAAAATTTATCCAAAATTTGAGGAGTATTTTGATTATTAATTTGGCTTTAGGATGGCATAAGATCGAAAAGTTGCACATGCCGAAAAGAAAGAAAGAAAAAAGTGCAGCTATTAAAACGCTTTAGTGTCATGATTATTTGTATAAGTGTATTGCGAATTTTTAAGGCTGTGATATTTAAAATTCAGCCTTCAATTTCAGAGGAGATTCCGGATATATTAACCAGCTACTGTGTTTGAATTTTATTGAAATCAGATTTAACCTCAAAACAGAAGCAACATATGCAGAGGCATAAAATAAAGAAATTCCCCCTTCATTAAACCAATGAGCGATTCCCTCAAAGAAAAGCAGTGGGTTATACACGGCCAATCCCTCTCTCAAAATCAGTTCAGCTTAAAAGAAATCATTTCGAGAAGAAAAAAATACAGGGGATAGTAGTATGCAAACACAAATCAGATTCCACAATATGGAATATATATGTAGAGCATACCATATTTGAGTTTAAAAAGGTTAAATCTGATATATTTGGGATACCTGGACTGTGAAGATCTGAAACTTCTGAAGAAGATCGGGAATTTTGAATAGTCAGTTCTTCTTTCTTCTCTCTGTGCGGGACTGCTGAAGAAGAAGACCGGAAGCTGGACTCTTGGGGTCGGAAATTTGGAGAAGATCTGGAATTTTGGAATTCTTGCTTCTTCTTTCTTCTCTCTGTGCGGGTCTCAATTAAATTGACAAATTAACCCAAATTGATTTATGTAGACTCCGGCGAAGATCCAGCGATTCTCCTCCCGTTCTCGTCCGCGGCAAACAAAGGCGAAGACTGAGGTTGAAGATGACGGGATGGCGTTTGGAGACCGACGGAAAAAAATCGCTAAGGGCGGAAAAAAAATTTGGTGGTTTTGCTATGTTAGGGATCAGGGATGAGAATCAACCCAATCCCACTGTACGGGAAGAACCGTACAGCCGGCAATTAATTGGGGCGAAAGGAGGAACTAAGGAAGGAACGGCCGAATCGATCGACCATGAAGGAGGCTGCGTGATGGGGCTAGTTGGATTCTCGATCAGCGATTTGACGATGAAGGTCCAATCGGTGATTAGACGATGAAGGCCCGATGGAGGTTGTTTGGAAGTCCGATCGACGATTGGACGATGATGGTCTGATCCGCGATCTGAACGCTGCTTGGATATGCGAAGATCTGGTCAATTCCACTTTTAGTTGCTCGCTATGGTCTTCCGCTTCCTAGAGATCTTTTCTTCCACTTAGCAGATTTCAACTTGGTGCGTTGTTTAAGAATGAGTACTAGGTTATATGTGAATGAGTACTACTGGGTTTTAGAATGAATATTATATTATTCGTAAATGAATATTGAACAAATTTGTGAAAATGAGTACGACGTTATTTCCGAATGAGTACTGCATTATTTCAGAATGAGTACCACGTTTTTCAAATGAACCATTATGTTTGTGCGATATTTGAGTACTACTTTACTTTGGAATGAGTACTATATTGATGTACCTATCTCTAGGTACATTCGGATGTACCATATACACTCTCACCCGACTTACCACTAAATATCTGAAACCGAGATAAAAATAATCTGAATTTGATCCCAAAAATTTTACCCGAACCTGACATTGGGTCAAGTCGGTGTGAGTTAATAATTTTATCCGATACGAATCTGTACACGAATATTTTATAACTTAAAAACCTATCTATGGATATAATGAGCACTCTGCATAATCTTTAGACAAGGTGCTATTATATCAAATATGCTTTTTATAATTCTTTTTAAAATTCCTTAATAAAAAATGAGACACAAATAAATAGAGTTATTCTTTTTAAAATTCTTGGGGTACGTCGAATTGATTATGTTAGAAAGCATTTTCACATTGATGTTTTGTTAATGACAATGCTTGTTTCTATTTAGGTTTTGATATTGACAAACCGTCGGGAACATGGGACAAAATGAAAATATTCAAAGTCATAGCAAAAGCTCTTTGAATGAACAAAAAGCACAAGAAAGGCATTGACGTTTCTAAAGACGATGACATTGGCGTTTTGAAGATGTTGTCTAAAGACTTAGGTTTGTATAGTAACAAGCTCATTCAATTTCTCTACGTCATGGCTCAAAACAAAATATTTTTTTCATGCATAAAATGAGTGTTTTCATAAATGGTTTTAAGTTTCTAAAACCACTGGTTCTTGCCCAACCAAAACCATAACCATCGGTTATCGGTATTCGTCTATGGCGTTTGGTTTTTGGCATGGGTTAATGGCATTGATTTTAGCCAAATGGTTTTTGGGTTTTTATCTTTGATTTTTGCTTCTAAACACATTTAAGAGTTTTTCAAATGATTATTTTTCAAAAACCATAACCTTTGTTTTCCAGCGTTGGTTATCGGCATTCGGCGCTGGTTATCGGTGATGGTTTTTGGCACCCAAATCAATCAAGTGGTTTTTAAGTTTTATACTTGGTTTCTACATAAAATACATTATATAAGAGTTTCCAACACATTGTTTTCATTTTGGAGAACTTTGGTTTTTGACATCGGTTTTCGGCGTTGGCTGCCAACCCATGGTTCTAGCGACCACACCCAACATAGATGTTAGATTTTGAACATAGATGTTAGAACAGCGATGTTGGGATTTGAACATCGATGTCGGAAAAGTGATGTTGGACTTTGAAAATCTATGTTTTGGCCAGGTTGGCTCAAGTCAGTCTTGGGCAGTAGGTTTTTGAACAACAATGTTCATTGTTGAACATCGATGTTTTCAAATGATCGTTGGGCTATTTAAGACAAAATCTTTCCATTTTTGAAAGTCAATCACCCCAACATCGATGTAGACTTCTAGACATCGATGTTTTGATGACCGTTAGCCATTTTTAAAGGAAAGTCAAAGCCAAAACAGCAATGTTCACTATATGACCGTTATCCATAAACTTTTTACATAGCTTTTTAGAGTCATTTCTTGAGGAATTAAGTGTGTTCTTGATCTAAATTAGTTTACTCATATTCTACTCTTTAAGAGAGATTTTGTTCTTGAGTGGTTAAGTGTTGTGAACACTTTAAGGGAGGTTAGTTCCCTTGGTTGTACGTAGGAAGGGCATATCCCTTCGGTTTGAAGTCTTGGAGTGCGGTATCTCCGAGCAAGTGTAATGAGGCTCATGGGACTCGAGTTCTCAGGTTGTAACAGTTTGTTAACCACCCGTAAGCTTAACGGAAGTAGTGTAGCTCGAGAGAGTCTCTCGGGAGGCTTGAGTAGCCACACGTTGTGGTGAACCAGGGTAAATCTTGGTGTTCTCCCTTTCATTTCAAACGCTATTCACCCCTCCTCTAGTGTTGGGACCTTAATATAACAATTGGTATCAGAGCCTAACTCTCTAAAAGTCTTAACAGGTTGAGAGAACGATTTATATTTCTTTTGAGAATGTTGAGCGCAGGATCTTTTAGCGAAGGACACTCTCTAACAAGGCCACCACTCTTTAATGGAGTAAATTAATCTTATTGGAAAGAAAGAATGAGAATCTTCATTCAATCCGTTGATTACACACTATGGATGACAATCAACAACGGAGTTTCTCTCTCAACGGAGAAGGTGGGCAAAAAAGAGTAAAGAAACTCGAGGAGGAGTACAATGAAGAAGATATCAAGAAGGTGGAACAAGATGCAAAAGCTCTTAACCTTCTACTTTGTGCAATTGACGCGCAAGAACTTCAAAAGTTCTCCGGATATCAAACGGCTAAGAATCTATGGGATGACATTCGTGAGAAATACGAAACTCTATAAGGAGAAAAAGAAGCAACCCATATTTGTCTCATGGCCAATGAGGAAGAAGAGGTAAATACTTCTAACTCTCCTTCTTTTGAAGAATTACTAGAAGCTTTTAAAGAACTATTTGGTGAATTTAAGAAAGCTTCAAAAATTGCCAAAGAGGCTAAGGCTAAACTTCATACTTTGGAAGAAGAAAATAAATTTTTAGAAAATGATAATCTTGACCTTAAAAATAAGATTAAGGCAATGAATGAAACTTCTTCCTTTGACGAAAGTTCTACTTGTTCCTCTTGTGAGTCTTTAAAAATAGATAATGTAGAATTTAAGAGCATCATAGAAAAATTTAAGGTAGAAGAGCCTAAGAAACTTGGTGAAGAAGTTAAGAATGATAAACCTAGATGAACAAATAATCCTAGGAATAACAAAATTAATTTTAGAAAGAATAAAAATAATAAGTTGAGACAACCTAGAAATGCCTCTAGGATTTTTAAAAATGATAGGAATAATTTGAGACAACCTAGAAATGAGTCTAGGAACTTAATTAATAATTATAGGAATAATGACTTTAGATCACCTAGAAATTTTTTGGCTCAACCTAGGCATATGCATAATCCAAATGTAGTTTGCCATTATTGCTCTAAGATAGGACACATAGCACCCGTTTGTTTTACCAAACACAGGGATTTGTTTTATAGCTATGATTATTATTTGCCTAACCCTCAAGGACCCAAAAGGTTTTGGGTACCTAAAAATTATTTTTAGATGCATATGTAGGTGTGTTTGAAGACTATATTTTTGTAGTGGATGCTCCAAGCACGAAACGTAATGAATTGAATCAAGGGAAGTTTGGGGGGAATTGTTTTTGCTATAAACATGGTATCAGTTTCAGGGAAAACATACAACAATGATGTTTTGTATTAAACATCAATGCTCAGGGAGTACACTTTTTAAACTTTATTTAGTGCTTTTTGCTAATGCCAAAAGGGGAAGTGTTTGGGTATATGCAACAAGTGAGGGGGAATCTTGTTTTCAAAGACGTATGGGGAATTACCATTACTCTCTCTTTGAAAACCCAACTTGGCTTGCATATCCTCGCCCTGGTTCTTGCCAACCAAAACCATAACCATCGGTTATCGGTGTTCGGCTGTGGCGTTCGGTTTTGGCATGGGTTATTGGCATTGATTTTAGCCAAATGGTTTTTGGGTTTTTATCTTTGGTTTTTGCTTATGAACACATTTAAGGGTTTTCCAAATGATTATTTTTCAAAAAATCATAACCTTTGTTTTCCGACGTTGGTTATCGGCATTCGGCGTTGGTTTTTGGCGCTCAAATCAATCAAGTAGTTTTTAAGATTTTATGATTGTTTTTTACTTTTGGGCATATCCAAATAGTTCTCCAACAAAAACATGTTAAAAACCACCTTTCGTTTTTGGTCCTTTGGTGAAAACCATGTAAAACGGCATAAACTTGGCTAGCCGTGGTTTTTACCTTAATGAAGTGGTTTTTAAGTGTTTATACTTGGTTTCTACATAAACTACATTATATAAGAGTTTCCAACACTTTTTTTCATTTTTGGAGAACTTTGGTTTTTTGACATCGGTTTTCGGTGTTGGCTGCCAAACCATGGTTCTAGCGACCAGACCCAACATATATGTTGGATTTTCAACATAGATGTTAGAATAGCAATGTTGGGATTTGAACATCGATAGTGGAACAACGATGTTGGACTCTGAACATCTATGTTTTGGCATGGTTGGCTCAAGTCAGTCTTGGGGAGTAGGTTTTTGAACAGCTATGTTCATTGTTGAACATCGATGTTTTCAAATGACCATTGGGCTATTTAAGATAAAATCTTTCCATTTTTGAAAGTCAATCACCCCAACATCGATGTAGACTTCTAGACATCGATGTTTTGATAATCGTTAGCCATTTTCAAAGGAAAGTCAAAGCCAAAATAGCGATGTTCACTATATGAACATCGATGTTAGGCCAAAATTATGTAGACCAACTTTGATTTGATTTCCAAAAATCAAGCCAATCAACCCCAATGTTCTCCCAACTGTTGCACCTTGTTTTTGGGTATAAATAAGGGTCTTTTGGATCTACTTTTAACAATCATTCCTCATACATTTCATAGCTTTATATTACATCATTCCATAAACTTTTTACATAGCTTTTTAGAGCCATTTCTTGAGGAATTGAGTGTGTTCTTGATCAAAATTAGTTTACTCATATTCCACTCTTTAAGAAAGTTTTTGTTCTTGAGTGGTTAAGTGTTGTGAACACTTTAAGGGAGGTTTGTTCCCTTGCTTGTACGAAGGTAGGGCATATTCCTTCGGGTTGAAGTCTTGGAGTGCGGTATCTCTGAACAAGTGTATTGAGGCTTGTGGGACTCGACCCAAACCCAACCCACTTCCCTTAATGTGTATACAACACTAAACACTCAAGAACAAGACTCTCTTTAAAAGTAGATAATGAGTAAACTAAATACGCTCAAGAACAACTCAAACTTCACACAAATTGGCTCTAGAAAGCTATGGAAAAGAATGTTGTTTGAATGCAATGAAAAATATGAATATTGTGAAGTTAATTGATGTGAAAAGCAGACCCAAACACCCCTTTTTATAGTGCCAAAATAGGCTCCAACGGACCAATGCATTAAAGGGGTGATTGGCTTGATTTATGGGATTGAATAAATTTGGGATCTGTAGGATATTGGCTTCCCATTGATGTTTAGACTCACCCATCGCTGGTAAGACAATTTTCCTTCAGTTTTGAAGCCAACGGTCACCTACCCATCGATGGGTAAATGCTTCCCATTGCTGGGTGGGAGGTTGACTTTCAAACTAGGAAAGAATCAGCCTTAAATGACTCACAACGGTCATGCCTAACCAGCCATGGATATGCCCTCCCATCGTTGGGTAAAGGTTCCCATCGTTGGGTAAGGTCATTCTGCCTTGTGGAAATGTTGGACTAAGGCTTAAACAGCGATGGGTAGAACTTCCCATCGCTATTTGGCATGGTTCTGGAAATCAGTTGGGCTGAAGGCTGCTTACCATCGCTGGGTAATATCTCCCATCGCTGGGTGAAATGATTCTGGAATCCCGGGATCACTTACCCATGGATGGGTGATATCTACCATCGCTGGGTAGATGGCTAGCCCAGAACCATGACATAGCTGACCGGCATTAAAACCCGACCGAAAAATGCAAAGTTCTCCAAAGTAAAAACTAAGTATATAAAACACTTATTTAATGTATTTTGATGTCAAAAAAAGCTGTTTAAGTTGAAAACCACGTCGTTAAGGTAAAAACCACAGTTGACCAAGTCAACGCCGTACACGGGTGGTTTTTACCAAAAGACAAAACCGAAAGGTGGTTTTCATGATGTTTTGATTGGAGAACCATTTAAATGCATTCAAAAACAATTCCTACACAAAAAGACTTGAAAACCACTTCATTTAAGTAAAAACCATGGCTAGCCAAGTTTATGCCGTTTCGCATGGTTTTTATCAAACGAAAAAAAACGAAAGGTGGTTTTTGAAGTGTTTTTTATGGAAAACTATTTAAATGTGCCCAGAAGTAAAAACCAATCATAAAAAGTTGAAAACCACTTGGTTGGTTCGGACGCCAAAAACCAACGCCGATAACCGAATGCCGAATGCCGGTTTCTGAAAACCGAACGCCGGTTTCCGAAAGCCAAACCCCGGATGGCTTGGTCTTTGGTTTGGGCGAACACCAAGTGTTTTTAATATGTTTGAACGTGTTTGAAAATAATTTTGATGCTATGTAAAATGCAATAAAAAAAGTTTTAGCATAAAAAGCCAAAGTGCATGTTAGAATAAAAGACCAACGCTAGAGGGGGGGGGGGTGAATAGCGTTTGATCGTAGAAATCGCAAGAATTAAAAACTTAAAAGAGAAGTAAAGAGAAGAGTAAGAGGCACACCGAATTTTACCCTGGTTCACCACAACTTGTGGCTAATCCAGCCTCCCGAGAGACTCTCTCGAGCTACACTACTATCTCGTTAAGCTTGCGGGTGCTTAGTAAACCGTTACAACTTGAGAGTTCGAGTTACACGAACCTCAACGAGTCCTTCAAAGGAAACAGCCCTTCCTTTGAATCTA